TTTTGTGTCACATTACACCACTCAATGAACAAAAAGAGGATTATTTATTTTCATTGGAAAATTCAATAAATATCTCTATGGAAGTCTAGACGCTGACGATAAAGAAAGACTGCTAAGCACTGACCGCGTCGCAACACAGACGACTGTTAAACGATTATCAAAGGACATAGACGCACAATTGTCTAGCGTTAATATAAACCAGAAGGAAATTCAAAACCGAATCAACAAAATCACAAATACAGTCTACTTCTACTACGACGTATATTATCATATTACTTGACAATCTCGAAAATAATATTCGTGTCATCAACGACATCCAGACGAACATTCAGACAGCGATTAACTTTGCAGAATTAAAAATTATGCATCACAGCATTCTCAAGTATCGTGAACTTGAAAAGATAATTTTCAAGCTGACCCCTGAAACACGAATCCCTTTTGATAACATCATAAAATACTACGAAACTGCATACGTCGATGTAACGATTAAAAACGACTTAGTAATATTTTATATCGCAATTCCTCTAATATCTGGAAAAGTCTATACTCTATTCCATTTATACCCAATTCCAATTGAAAACCAAATAATGTCAGTGAAAAATCCATATTTGCCATAAAATTTAAGACATCTGCTTGTGTCTAGAAACATTACTTAATTCCAATGAACCCTGTATAATACAAACAATAAATTTAACAAATCATTGCCCAATGATTCCGATTCATTACAATATATCTTCAATCACTCAATTAAGTGATAATTCAATTCTTATTATTCCCAGAACCTACACAACCCTTTCAACCAACTACTATACGAACATTTTACGGACAAAAATTTCGGAAAGACTAATAAGCTTACTGACAAAATGGACAAACAGCCCCCACAACTGGACCATACTGAATCCCCTTTGCCTCACAAGACCGTCAAAACACTCCCGTTTTCGTTCCCCAACAGATACTTTACTAGAACACCTACAAACGCAACTGAACTAAGGACTAAGATCTGTTTGTTTTGTAAGCCAAGAATTTTTATTTTTTTTTATTTTCTTTGTATAGCTGATTAATTTATACGAGTGTTAGGAATAGGAATTAATTTTAGAATAAGCTAGGCTAAGGCACATATATAGGTACTAAACAAGGGCAGAAAGACCGATTGGGTCTATAGCCTTTTTCTGCAGGAAATAAAGATTATTTATATATATATATTCCCAGAAATACCAATAATATCAATTTTGAATGTCCAAACCAAAACACAACAGCAGCTATAAATCAACCTTCTTTGATTTTCTCAGCTGAATGTACTGTAAAAATCAAAAACAAAATTTATGATTTTCAAAAACCAGATACATTCAGATTAAGACTAAAACTTCCAAAACTTGTCATAAATAAAAATTTAATCGAGAAAATTAAACCACTTCA